CAAAGTGAGACAGTAGTACTGACATATATACACTACCAAACGTAAAAGAGATAGCTAGTGGGAAGTAGTCGCATAGCACAGGGAAATCAGCTTAGTGCTTTGCGACCACCTAGACGGGTGGGATAGGGAGGGTGGGAGGGAGATGCAAGAGGGAGGGGATATGGAGATATACGTATACATATAGCTGATTCACTTTATTATACAGCAGCAACTAACACAACACGGTAAAGCAATTATACTCCAATAAAGATGTTAAAAAGAAAAAATAAATAAAATTTCATTTCTGGGAAGTTCATTATAGAAAAAAAGGACTCAAGGTCCTGAAATGATGACTGTGGTTGGGTGGCATGAATTTGTAGTGGGAAGAGCAGTTTGCGTTTCATCATTTTCTCCAGGAATCAAAAACAGAGAAAGGAGGAGGTCCTAGTCCACCTAACCTAGGGCTGGGCAAGACAGTGTCCACCCAGAATCAGCAAGAGCATCACCAAAATGCCTGATGAGTGGAGGCTGTTAGCAGCGAAACTTATGGGCAGAGGGAGTGAGGGGGAGGAAGAAAGAAAACAGACCCGGTTAGGTCTCCGATGTGGGAGGGACTGTCCCCAGGGATAAGATGTGATGGTTCCATGTATGGCAGAGCACAGTGAGAAGGCAGGCAGGTCACTGGAAGATACAGCCCAGAATAAATAAATGTAGGCTAGAAAAAGTAAGGTGACACAACTTGAGGTAGTTAAATACCAAATGGGAGATAGAATCAGATCATTATCTGTTTTAGGCAAACTTGTCTAAGGTATTAAAAGGCAGGAAGAAAAGATCCACAGCTCTTAAAGACCCTAGTCAAGCTCACCTGGTATTATTCACGTAATTTTCGCTTTCTAATGGTCAGTGCATCTATTCATTGATTCTAACGTAGCACCTTCCATCACCGTGTTAGAGGAGAGATAGTCAACTCTGTAGGCTGATGGGAAGGTAGATAAATGAAGCACAAAGGGAGCAGGGAGACTAAGGAGCACAAGGCAAGAGAGATTAGAGACTGAAATTCATAGAATCGAACAGGTGATTCCCATTCTAGCAAAACCAACCCCTTGAAATTCCTTCTCCCTCCTCTAAATGCCCAGACAGCTCTGTCTCAAGAACCAACCTTCTGACAGCCTGTTTAAAGAAAGTGCAGCCTGTTTGGACTGGGAGATGGTGATTGCAAGGCTAAAGGGAGTCCCTCTCACCAGAGTTAAAAATACCAAGTGTAAGGAAATTCGCTGGCTGTCCTAATGCACTTCCATTGCAGGGGGCCCGGGTTCGATCCCTGGTCGGGGAGCTAAGACCCTGCAAGCTGCATGGCACAGCCAAAAAATAAATAAAATAAAATAAAGGAACTTAATAAAATCCAGATCAATAATGTAAAATTCACAATGTTTGCCATGCAATAAAAAATTAATAAACATACAAAGGAGGAAAATCTGATTAATAACTAGGAGAAAATACATCAATAAAAAAAAAGAAACCCTTAAAAATACCAAGTGCAGGTTCTGGGCAAAGTTCTCTAGTTTTATCTGGTTCCTCATCTCTAAACTTCACATCAGGGGCAAAGTAAGGAATGACCAAGTATTTCCTAAAAGCAGAACAATCTGACTTTCCCTTAGAGAACAAACGAAAGGACTCGCCAATCTATCAAACAGATCTTGTTGGAGCTTGAAAGGATTGCTGCACATCCAGAAGGGCAGGTAGGGGCCTGCTGGGCTGACTCAGAAGATACCATCTACGGCAAGTGCTGGTGGGGTCCATTCCCTGTCATTAAAACACACGGACCTGCTTCGGGTTTGCAGATGGTCTCTGCCAAGGCAATGAGGCTGCTGGATGGGATTCTGCCACCCACCTCTCAGTCCACTTTAAAGACAGGAGCAACCCCTCCACTTACCAATTTTGTTCCAGGAGTGTTTACCCTAGCGCTAGTCTGCCAGACTGACAGCACTGAGAACTGTGGAAAAGCCTGTCTCCCTAGATTTAGGCCAGGCAAGAGGCTCAGCAGCCACTGGTAACACCAAGTGCTACCAATTCAGAAATGCTAGGCATGAGGGGGTGGATGGGGGTGGAGGGATGATGGACAAGGCCCCAGGTCCCAACTCAGCCTCTCAACCACTGGCTCAGGTCCCCTCTGTGAAACAACATGATTTCTATGGTCCCCTTCAGTTCTAAAGATGCCAAGTTGTCAATCTGAGCATCTGGGCCCAAACCCACTTTCTAAATGGTCAGGATTAGCAATGCCAAGCCTCCCCGCTGATTTAGTACCAGGAGGCACCAAGCTCAGGAGATAAGGTAGAATATAGACAGGGCTCCGGCCTCTGTCAGAACAGAGGGTGTGCGGGAGAGCTGGGAGGAAGGTGAGAGCCCAGAGGGTATGTGAAGGGCCAAGGCTACAGGGGAGAGACCCGCCTGAGATACAAAATATGTGTCCTTGGAAATAAAAGACTTCTGTTTCTTTGGTGAATAAATAAGATACAAAATTAATCTCTTGGGCCACTACTTTAGCATCAGTTGTTAAAGCCACTTTTCTGTCTTGGCTATCCTATTATACTTTGTATAATACTATCAACGGACCAGCATGCTTGGAGTTTCTGTGGTTTAAAACTGGATGTATGTCCCCTGCCCGCCATTTACTCTGGGTAATATAATGTGGAACTTTAAAAGGCTTGTTTAATTTCGAAGACATCAATTAGCTGTTGATAGGCTTTCGACAGATAAGACAACACGTTTTTTAAAATTTGGTCATATTTATGACTAGGAATTGACTTTGAGTCCTTACAGCTTGCTTAGTGGAAGAACAAACGGTCAGTGTGGCCTATTAGGTCTAGCCTGGAAATGGAGATGTAGTCTAAGGAAATATATAGCCTTATACGGTGGGGACGGACACTTGGACATCCACCATAGCAGTACTGAGGACAGTAAAACAGTTGAAACAATCTCAAAGTCCCATAACTGGGAAACTCAAGTAACTCTATGACATAGAATATAACAGGATAGGGGATGGGATGTTTTCCCACTGTCTTAAGAGTTTTAACTGGGGCCCCAAGCTCAGGACAATGGTATGCATACACCCCACGGAGAGGTCCCAGGTAAACCCCAAAGGACCAGCTGAGAAGGGCCAAGAATAGTGGTATGAGCCCCACCCTCAGCTTATAGAAGAGGAAGAGATTTCTCTGAAGGACTCAGTGGAGGAAGTGAGAGCGGGGGCTGCTTTCCTTCCTCTGCCCATAAGGAGGAAGGGGCAGCTCTCAGCTCCACCCCCCAAGCCAAGTGAAGGGGGCCTCAAGGTCACCACTTGTTGGGGGTGCATGCCAGAAGGGGAGACGGCCTGTCACTCCTTAGCCTGATGCTTGTTGATGTGTAGATACCCACAGTGCCAAACCCTCTGCCACTGGGAGACACTACCCTGTGTGTATGAGGAGAGAGCAGCCAGCTGGAGCTCTCCTGACGGTCGGACAGTGGGGTGAGCTTGCCACTGCCGAGTGGACCAGAGCCATCGCCATCTTGAAAGGACCCTGTCCAAGGTAAGAGGTGCAGGAGGTAGGCCTGGGAGAGAAGGAGCTGGGGCTAGCTGTTGGGGGCAGCTGTGAACATTCAGCTGGGAATGCTTTGCCTGTATCAGGTAATTGCAGTGTTGAATTCCCACCTGCTGGGGAAGGGGAGGAGAACCAAGGTCACCTGCCCCTCTTTCGGGCCTCCACATTTCAGATCAGGCCTGAGTTGGAGGTGAAGAGAAAGGCTTTGAACTTGGATGAGAGATTTAACTACTGTATGGAGTTCACTTAAGAGCTTAAAAAAAGATGAACTCACTTTTTCCCCACTGCCCAGATAAGCTATTTTCTTATTTTTCGACAGTGGCCCCACTATGCACCTGGTCACCAGCTGGAACTCTCTGAAGCAGATCTCCAACCCTCCCTTCTCTTCGTTCCAAGTCCTGTCAGACACTGAATCCCTGACATCTCTCCCTCAAAATGTGTTGTTATGTCTTGGTTCTTCTTTTTCTTTTTTTTCCAAGCATTTTTAGGGGTTGAATGGTGTCCCTCCAAAGACGCACACTGGAGTCCAAACCCCCAGTACCTCAGAGTGAGACTGTATTTGGAGAGAGGCTCTTCACAAAGGGGATCAAGTTAAATGAGGCCACGAGGGTGGGCGCTAAACCAATATGAGTGGAGTCCTTAGAAAAAGGGGAAATTTGCACAGAGACAGGCACACGCAGAGGGAAGATGATGTGAAGAGACACAGGGAGCAGACGGCCGTCTACAGACCCAGGAGAGTAACATGGCACAGATCTTTCCCTCACGGCCCTCGAGAGGAACCAACCCTGCCCACACCTTGATTTCAGACTCACAGGCTCCACGCTGTGAAACAATGCATTTCTGTTGCTTACGGCACCCTCTGCATGGTGCTTCCTTACAGCAGTCACAGCGAGTGAACACTAACCCCTTGGAATTACAATCCCTGCTCTTCATTCTTTTTTTTTTTTTTTAACATCTTTATTGGAGTATAATTGCTTTACAATGGTGTGTTAGTTTCTGCTTTATAACAAAGTGAATCAGTTATACATATACATATGTTCCCACATCTCTTCCCTCTTGCGTCTCCCTCCCTCCCACCCTCCCTATCCCACCCCTCCAGGCGGTCACAGAGCACCGAGCCGATATCCCCATTCTTCCTTCCACAGCTGCACTGGGGCCCCTGGGATGAGCTTCCTATAACAGGCACTTGGGGTCTCCCGGCCTCAGTCTTTCTTCCTACCCATCCCCTTGACGAGCCACTACAAGGATAACCTTTCTAAGACTCTCTTTTTATCCCATCATTTCCCAGGGCCTGGAAGATGAAGCCCGTACTTCCAACGTGGCCCTCAAGACTCCTCTACAGCAGCACCTCCCTCGGTGGCTGTTAGAGAAAACGCTGACTGTTGGGGGACAGGTATGCTGGGGTGGGAGAAACAAGCCTTTTTCTGATCAAAGAAGCTTGCTTACCTGTTGAATGACCTCAGTAAATGTCTTCTCTCTGTCTTTTCCCTCTGTTTCTGTGCTGAGACTCTCTGAGAACCTAAGGGAGACTCTCTTAGCTTAAACATTCCGACTCAGCTTTCCTTGCCGGAGATTTAAAAACGCCCAATTTCACTGAAAGCTCTAAGTGTGTATCACTGTCCCCCCAGCACCTAGGAGAGTAGTGGTGAGACATTCTTGGACTCAAATGCTGGATGGATGGATGGATGGATGGATGGGTCATCATCTATCCACTTGCAGTCTATTTCCAATTTATCAAGCACTGTCATACCACCACCTAGTTCACGAAGGCCTATGGCCTCCCTGCTGTATGAACAGAACAAACTCTTTAGTCCCCTAATATCTTGGCTGGATTTCTTTTTATTTATTTATTTAAAATTTTATTTTATATTGGAGTATAGTTGATTAACAGTGTTGTGTTAGTTTCAGGTGTACAGCAAAATGATTCAGTTATACATATATATGTACCTATTCTTTTTCAAATTCTTTTCCCATTTAGGTTATTACAGAATACTGAGCAGAGTACCCTGCACTATACAGTAGGTCCTTGTTGATTATCTATTTTAAATATAGTAGAGTGTATAGTCAATCCCACTTCGATGGATTTCTTCCCTTCCTGCCCCATCCAAATGTCATCATTCAAGGCACAATTCAAATTTGACATCAACTAATTCAACTTCTTGCTTTTACATCTAAAAAAGAAGTTTCCATCTTTCCCCTTCTTCTAGTCTTGCCTCTGAAAAAGAGTTGAGGTTCTTACTTTTAAAATGCTAACTCATCTCTCTGTACCTTTGATAACTTTATTTATCTAACATAGGGGCACATATATCTCACCTTCCAGATTACAAATTCCTTGAGGGAAATCAATGTGCTGTGTCTTCTCCACAAGATATTGCTAAGGATGTTATCAATAAACAGTTGCTAAGAAAATTAATCCTCTCTACCTTCCACAGTGAAAACAAATCCCATTAATTATTCCACTTCTCTTTCTTCTCCCTCTTAATTTTTAATCTCTCCACTCCTGGTGATAACTTATCCTTTAAAATCTGTTGTTTCCCAACCTTAAAAAAAGAAGCTTTTCCTGTATCTTCCAACACCTTCAAATAAAAGTTTACTATTTTTTCCTTGCTACCTTAATGAATTTGACAGAACTACATAAACTTTCTTATCACCCACTCACTCCTTCAGCCTTTTGCAATTATGTTTTTGTCCCTATGATCGAGTTCCTTCCTGAAAGGTCCCAGTAACGTCTGAAAGGACAAATCCAAAGGTGTCTTTGTAGGCTCGCCCTTGACCACAGGATGATGTTGACGGCCTTTTCCTTGGCACGTGAAGCAATGCCCAATCCTGGCCTTTTTCTCTCTTTACTCAACATGTATTTATTGAGACTTTACTAAGTGCTAGGGATGGAGGATACACTTACAAGCCAAAAAACACAGCAGTCCCTGCCCTCATGGGGAGAGACAATGAAGCCATCAGCAAACATGTAACTGTAAACTGGGAAAGTGCCGAAAAGGAAAGTACAGATGCCTCGACCACTGACAGTGTTCTTCTCTGGCCACTCCTCTGTCTGCCTCTGAGCTCCTTTTCTTCCTCTGGCCTCCAGATTGTTCTTCAAGGCTCCATCCTGGGCTCTCCTCTCTGCTTTTGCACAAGGACTCTCTCATCGACAGTCCCATCCTCCCCTTGGGCTTCAAGTGTAACCTCCTGATGCAGGAATCCTAAACCAACTCCCAATGCAGCCCTTCCTATCACACATCTCACATACCCCAAACTCTATAGACCATTATCTCCTTTTTCCACAGCCCACAAACAACTCTCAATCCTAAAAACACACAAATCTTATCGTCCTCCTGAATTCTCTATTGATATTGTTAGTAGCATCCCTCTCCCAATCACAGGCCTAAGACCTGGTCTCATCCTCTCTCCAGTCTCCCAGGGTCCCAGATACAGTCATGGGACCATCCCTCAAAACCACCAATACCTCCATCTGCCTCTCTCTGGCATTCAAGGCTCTGGGACCCCAGATCCAACAGATCTTCCAGCCTCACTGCCTACAATCTCCCAATACTTCAGCTCCAGGCAAAGTATTTGTCCCAGACTCTTCTCAGAGCCTTTGCTTACAGCATTCCTTCTACCAGGAGTGCTCTCACCCTGCCCTCAGACACACATCCTCGAATCTATTTCTGTTATCAATAAATATCAGAGGTGACAGTATCATGCAGCCATTCAGACAGATGGTAAGGCCATGCAGCAAACTGGATGAAATGTTTGTGAGATAGTATTATATAACAAAAGCAAGATATAAAATTGTCTGCAGTTTTATAATTATCCTTATGAAAAAACTGTATAAGTGAATACATCAAAATGACAAAAATGGAGTATTAGAGTGGTGCGATTTTGGATGAATATTTTTTGTTTTTCTAGATTCTAAATTCCATTTAGTGTGGTTTTTAAAATACATATATACTTCAAAATAGTTTTAGATTTACAGAAAATTTGAGAAGATAGTATAGAGCATTCCTGTACACCCTACACCAGTTTCCCTTATTACCAACACCATAAATTAGTATCACACTAATAATACCATATCATACCAATAACTTAATGTGGTTTTTAAACCTTAAAAAAAAAAATTACAGTTTGGTAAAACCAAAAAAACAGTATAAATAGAAGAAAATGTCACTTTTTTCATAACTTCTAACTCCAACTTAGCATCCTAATATTTACTGGTTTTCTTACTACCTCAGTTTCCTCTTGGCATGGATCCTTGGCTACAAACTGGAACAAATTTTGCTTTACTATAATTTGCCATACATGTGTGCCTGTAGTTAAAATTTTATTGTTTGACAAAGGTTCTGGGAAACATTTTCTATAACATAAAGAACCGTGAGGGTGAAAGAGACTCTTCGCTCCCAATGCAGGGGGCCCGGTTCAATCCCTGGTTAGGGAGCTGGATCCCGCATGCATGCTGCAACTAGGAATTCGCATGCCACAACTAAGGAGCCCATCTGCCACAACTAAGGAGCCCATCTGCCACAACTAAGACCCAGCGCAACCAAATAAATACATAAATAAATATTTTTAAAAAAAAGAACCATGAAAAACTTTTAAACAGCTGAACCATATCCACATTTAGAATCTAATGCTGTGTACACTGCTTCTCCAGGTCTGGAAGCTCTGCCTGGGGTCTGCCTCCCCCCACTCCCCCTGGTATATTTCATGTCCAAGAATACCCGGTCTCAGAACATATGCTCGACAAGTACCAGCTGTAACAAACTGTAGAAGTAGGATAGCTCTAATAGATGGGGTATTGATTTTAAATTACTAAAAGTAAAGGGTCCTTTATGAAATTTTATGACATGTCAGATTTCCATTTTGATGCCAGGACACCACAATGTTTTTCCGTGGCATCATTCAAAAAAGGTGGCTAAAATTAAGTCTTCAGTGAAGTGGATTTTAGTTTTTAAATTATAAAAATCAATGAAACAGCAAATGGTAATATTCTAAAGAATGTATTTTCAACTTGCTTTTAATGTCTGAGCTATAGAAAATGAAGCGTGGGGATGTTTTTGTTTTTTTTAAACGTTTCTCCCCTAGTGAGTTTTCTTTGTTCTAACTGCCAAGTTGGTTTCAAAGACTCTTTCTGGATATCTAGCAGTTAGAACAAATCCTATAGATTATGCAAAGAAATAACCAACTGCAGTAGGTAGGTACAGTGCTACTTTTTATAAGAATGTAAGACACCCTGTTTTAAAACAGAACTTAAATAAAAATCTCAAATAGGTTTTTCCCGCTTTCTTTAGCTGATAAATCTTTTCCCATCTTTAAAGATAGTCTACTTGATAAAGCCAGAACTATAACACTGAAATCAGAAAAAATACTGAACAGTGTCCTAATGCATATTCTGTACCTAATCTTAAATGATTTTGGAAAATCACTAAAAATAAACAAACAACGTAACATTTTTGTATCTTCAAAGGAGTCTGTATTGTGTTGCAAAAAATGTGGGGAGCAAAACTTTATTAAACAAATTAAGGATTTCAAGAAAGGACAAATTTATACTTTAGGTCCACTAAAATAGCTCAAATTCAGTCAATATCAAAGTCAATCATTAGACTGTAATTCCAAGAAAAATGCTGAGTATCAGGATTAATAAATAAGAAAATAATATCCTCAGTGGACGACTGAAGACCCCCAAATCAAAGTTAAAAGTAGCACCACTGGGCTTCCCTGGTGGCGCAGTGGTTGAGAGTCCGCCTGCCGATTCAGGGGACACGAGTTCGTGCCCGGGTCCAGGAAGATCCCACACACCGTGGAGCGGCTGGGCCCATGAGCCATGGCCGCTGAGCCTGCGCGTCCGGAGCCTGTGCTCCGCAACGCGAGAGGCCCCAACAGTGAGAGGCCCCAACTGTGAGAGGCCCGCGTACCACAAAAAAAAAATGAAAAAAAAAAAAGTAGCACCACTGACGATTTTCAAGAGAATCGTGTTTATGATTGAAATTGCTTGTTTTATCAACTACTGTATAACTCTGCTTTACTAAAAAAGTGATTTGATTATCCAAGAATATCATTATTAATGATTAGTGACTGATGTTTTAAAAGGAAGACTAAACAAAGCTTCAAATTTGTGTTGCTAAAAATTAACTTGGTATCAATATTATAAAGAGAGCAGGACCCAACCAGTCTATCTTCAGGCAAGACATCCTTTTTGAGACATTTAGTGTTCTAACTATAGTTTAACAGATGTGAGGTATTGTGCAGTTTTGCTAATGAGCTTTGAGTGAGTAAACAGAGATAGGCTGGAAAGTACAAGTAGTAACTGAAGCACACGGTGACCCCAGGAAGCTTCTGGAAGGATGTACCTCAAAAGGTGAACAATGGAATGTGACAAGCGATTCTCAACCTTTTGGTACATTTTTGTTGTATTTGAAGTTAAAAATAACAGTCTTTTATAATCAGAAAACAACAGATGTATTTTGGAAAAGGACAATTAAAATAATATGTTAAAATTTGACATCTGATATCTGAACAAAGTAAAAGTTTTATAAAACATTACAAAAATGTTTTTAAACTACCCAGTTTTGTTGAGGCTTCTTTAAAAAGTTCCTATCCACAGCATACCAACTACACATGAAAGAAAGCAACTCTCTAACTCAGTAACACTGATGGTTTTTGGCATCTGGATAAGTATTTATTTCCAAAAAATGGATTAAAGCTACCTCAGTTACTCGTATAGATGTGCTACATTACTGGGATGCGTAAAGATCATTTCCAAACTTATTATCTAAAAATCCTGTTCTTTCTTTATTTTTAAAGCTCTAGAAGACAATTCCTAAATAAATTCTAGTTAGATTAGCATGTACCTAAGGGTAAAAATATAACTGAAATTATTCTTACCTGGTGTTGCACATCAGAATTTGTTGGGCAGTTCAAACTAACTGGATCACACTCCTCTGCTAGGGATTAAAAAAAAAAAAAAAAGATGCAAGCTTGATAAAGAAAGCACATACTCCGTGGTTGTAAGGCCTAAAATTAAGACTCAATATTATGTGCTGTTTACATCTGGTAAAACCAGGAGGACGCTGAATGGCCCAGCTGCAAGTTCCCCTCCCCGCTCTGCTCCTGTGGATAAGACCGCCAGCTAAACAACGCTCCTTTTCAAGGGGACCAGGCACAGTCCCTGCTTATCCCCGAGCAGTGGGTTTCAGTTCCCTGCCAGACCACTGAATTATTCAGACAAGTCATCATATCCTTCCCTGGGAACCAGGGGTCACACACCCTCTTGAAAGGACAGTGCTTGTCACCCACAGCTCCTGGTTGTTCACTCTGTTCCCAAGTGCAACCCCCATGAGACCCTGCATGGGGTGCAGCATTCTCCCTCCCCAGGCGGTCAACATCCGTGACTCACAAGCTACTGTCAATCTCATCTGCCCAGTGTCAGGTGTCCTGTGTGTGGCCATCCCCATAACCCCAGGGCAGGATCCCTCCCTCACCAACAGGGTGAACAGGAGGTAGTCCAAACACGTTCCCCTCTGATAACCTTACATCAGATTCCATGGTGTCCACTGTTTGACAGTTTACTAAATCTCTCAGAGAGCAGAGTGGGATCATGCTTGTCTTGATAGCTCACCCTCCTTAAAGTCAAACCGAAACCATTTCAGTTCTATGGTTAAAGTGGGGATTGCCAGTGAAAGTCAAAGGAACGTGATAGGCATGTGAAATGTCTAACACCTTTCGGAATTAACTGGTAGGAAGGAAATTCCATCCTTAGGTTGTCTTACGTATGTGTTAACTTCACAGTTCCCCAACTTGTGGTGAAGATTGTACAAATGCATTAAAAACTGATTTTGTTCCATCAGATTTTAATCTTTAACCACAGAATTCAACATCCCACTCTAACCTTGAAAATCGCCAGTAATATATTATGTTATGAAAGAAATGTTTAGTGGCATGTAAAATTTTAGAGTTAATAAAGCCCTTAATAGAGAATCATTTAATTCAAGGTTCAAAAGTTAGGACTGAGTGACAGATTAATACATCTATTTATTTTTACATTCCTTAACATTCATTGACCTATTATAGGCTGGTCTGATAGATTTATTCATATAAGGGGCTATATTTATTGCTGCCTACACAATTCTGACTAAAGGCCATTTTTTCCTTAACATTATTATCTGCAAAATTTAAACTAAAAGCACGGTCTCTTATTAAGATTCCATATGGTATCTTTTTAAGCTGGAGCAGTAGAGAGCTTACCTAGCCTTCTGTTTCTCAAGACAGTCCCAGCTCTCTTGCACCAGAATCACCTGGGCTGCCTGTTAACAATGCAGATTGCTGGGCTCCACTCCAGACCTTCTGAATTGGAATCTCAGGGACCCCAGAAATCTGACACCTAACAAGCACCCCACAGAATTCGGATGCACACTGATTTTTCACAGCAAAAAGTCACAGACATGTGACTTCAGTCATACTAATTCTCACAATGGCCAGTGTCATAATTGTTAACCCAGCATTATTGGACAAGTGGGGCTTTTTATTTCCCAACGCAATGTTAGCCTGAAATTAAGAAGCAACTTTTCTTACATGGTCCCCCAAGCACTCCTGTGGTTGCACCCCTCTCCCTCCCCGCTACCCTCCATAAAAGAAAACACCTTCGGGGCTTCCCTGGTGGCGCAGTGGTTGAGAGTCCGCCTGCTGATGCAGGGGACACGGGTTCGTGCCCCGGTCCGGGAAGATCCCACATGCCGCGGAGCAGCTGGGCCCGTGAGCCATGGCCGCTGAGCATGCGCGTCCAGAGCCTGTGCTCCACAGCGGGAGAGGCCACAACAGTGAGAGGCCCGCATACCGCAAAAAAAAAAAAAAAAAGGCCATCTTTGTATGTGTGTCATCACTGGGGGAGGGGTTGGTTTGCTAAAACAGGAGACTGTCAGGACTCTCCGTCATGGCTGGGTGGAAGGCGGTGAACTTGTGGAATGAGCGGGACCAGGTCACGGTAAATCGTGCGGGAAGGAGGGGCTTTTTAGTTTCATGTTACAACAAGGAAACCTATCAGCAAGATACTGTCGGTCAACTGGCAAGATGAGAAACCGTCTAAAATACAACACATTGGCCTGCTAGTTTTCAGGCAGACATTTTTACTTAGGAATTATTTTGGTGATCTCCTGAGTACTTGTTTATTTTCTCCTTTTTCAAACTGAACTACTACTTCCACATTTAGTTAACGAATTATTCCAAATATCATCCATGCTTAAGTTCAAATTTCTCAAAATAATTAACAATAAAATCAGTCTACTTCTCTTTAACTTTACATCCGCTATTTAAGCTTTTTGAACAATGGAAGGGCAGTAATGCCAGAGAAGATGAAGATGGTAAAATCTTGATTGCTTTATGATATAGTTATGTGCCATTTCCCCTCACTAGGAATAGTGCCTCAAAAATCAGAATTCTTTTTCCAAAGACATTTTTCTCTCAAAATATGAAGAGTCACATTCCCTTCAGAACCCTCAAGCCAGCAGTTTCTACGAGATACAGGAATTCTGTGATATAAGATAAACCCCAATCTTAAATTAGTCCTGAGTTTCGTGCCTACAGATCCTCACAGAGCACCTATCATAACAGAAGCCTGATAGAATGAACCTCCCGAAATCTCTAAAATCAGGGGAGGCAAAAGCTACACATTTGTTCCCGACAAGAAAACAGGTATAATAACACGTTTCACCTCAAAAACGTGCTGATCATTGAAATCACACTAGAGTCCCACAGTTGATTTATGGGTAAAAGCACATTATTGAGACCGTGTTAAGGGACTATGTTGTACTGTCCAGGGGAAAAGTAGGAGTATACTAGAATTATAATGAAGACTTTGTGAAACATGCTAATTTTCTTAAGAAAATACATTTTGAGGACTTTTAAAATCATATGGAAATGGTTCAAGATAATTACAAATGACTCCTCTATTAAGTATAGTAGCCCCCCTAGAATTCACTTGTGTCAGAGTCTGAATTGTTCTTAATATAATTAGATTACATTTACTTTTTTAAAAAATAAATTTATTTATCTATTTTTATTTTTGGCTGTGATGGGTCTTCGTTGCTGCGTGCGGGCTTTCTCTAGTTGCGGCGAGCGGGGGCTACTCTCCGTTGCAGTGCACGGGCTTCTCATTGCGGTGGTTTCTCTTGTTGCGGAGCATGGGCTCTAGAGTGCAGGCTCAGTAGTTGTGGTTCGCGGGCTCTAGAGCGCAGGCTCAGTAGTTGTGGCGCACGGGCTTAGTTGCTCCGCAGCATATGGGATCTTCCCGGACTAGGGCTCCAACCCGTGTCCCCTGCACTGGCAGGTGGATTCTTAACCACTGTGCCACCAGGGAAGCCTACATTTACTTTTAAGCTGTAAATTAGTCTCTTCACTAATTATATATGGGCTTTGTTTCCCTAAAAACAACTTCAGTGAGAAAATTACCATAAGCATTTAACGATGATACTGGCTCTATTATGGTATGTTTGAAAAAAATACTGCAGACATTAAATTGTTATTAAATGCAAATGTTGGATATTACATAGAAGATGATGTATTTCTTGGAGATAAGAAATTATGTGCTTAATAACACCTCCCCTCCCCCCCCCATGAATAAGGACAGAGGAAAGATCTGGAGTTACTTGTCAACTCACCACCATTTTAATTAATTTTAATTAAGGTTTTGTAAAGCTCAAATTCTAGAAGAAACCCAACGGTACAGTTACTGTATTATCAGGCTGCTAAGCAACAATCTTCTTCTCTTAAAACAGAAAATCATGTTCAAGAGTGACAGAAAAGGTCTTCGAATAGTTGCTGTGGCCCAGTCTACCTAAAACGGTGGTTCCACTCTTGCCTCTCTGCTACAAAAGCTTTCAACAGTCCTCTACCCTGATGGCTCACGATTCTTTTGCCAGATTTCCCTCCACACCTGTCAGATGCTTGTTGGGAGTCAGGCGCTGTTCCAGTCTTGTTTCGTTGAATTCTCACAAGCACCCTGGGAGGTCGGTGTAATACTTTCCTCTCTGCACTGCAGACTGGACACTGGGACCCTGAGCCATGAGGTCAACTGCTGAGTCCTCTCAGAGCTGGCGGTCTGGCTGCAGCTCGGTGTCTCTTACATGTCTCCTACGTGCGGCACGCCACATCCTTTTTTTTAATATAAATTTATTTATTTATTTATTTGGCTTTGTTGGGTCTTCTTTTCTTCTCTAGTTGCGGAGAGCGGGAGCCACTCTTCATCGCGGTACGCGGGCCTCTCACTGTCGCGGCCTCTTTTGTTGTGGAGCACAGGCTCCAGACGCGCAGGCTCAGTAGCTGTGGCTCACGGGCCCAGCTGCTCCGCGGCATGTGGGATCTTCCCAGACCAGGGCTCGAACCCGTGTCCCCTGCGTTGGCAGGCAGATTCTCAACCACTGCGCCACCAGGGAAGCCCCCACGCCACATTCTTGAATCTTCTTAGGAAGGCTCTCACAGGGAGGTCTGTGTCCCACCCCCTCAGGTTTGCATTAAAAACACCGGTTTCTGGGCCTGACCCCAGACCCACCACATCATGATTTTGGAGTAGCAAAGCCCAGAATCTGCATTTTAAACTAGCTCCCCAGGTAATTCTTCACTGCACCCTAAAAATCCAAGGAACACGGCCCAAGACTGCCTCCGATTCGTCCTGGTGGCCTGGCTTGCACCTTCCACTTTCTTGCTGAACTAGGCAATCACAGCTCGGGGAATTCAGGACACTGAGAAGTCATTCATGGAGAGGGGAAAGGGCAAAGTGTGCTTGGGAGAAGCCTCCCCTAGTACAGCCAGGATTTGGGCTCAAACCTGGCCTTCAGCCTCTTTTCCCTACACCACTGCCATTCCTGGGACGTGCACAGGGGGCAAAAGGAATGAAACTCTAATGATGCCATTTCAGAGAACAGGAAGAAGAGTCTGGTGAGTAGAGAATGAGGGAGGGGGACTTGGCAGAACTACAGACTTAACCACAGGTGGGCCCTGCCAGGGAGCTCCCAACCCTGCAACCCAGTGACCCTGTGATACCCATCACCACAAGGGCTGCTGGGGAACCCCACAGCAGGCTGTGCTGGGAAGTCCTTCCTCTCCAGGAAGCCGGGGTGTCCCTGCCATCTCTGAAGCTGCTCAGATCTGATTGCTCCCCACCCCTCCTCTCTGGCTGGTCAGCAGAGCACGAGGTAAACGCTCTAGTGCGATAAGCGGCAGCTCAGCCTCCACACTGGATACAGCCTTGGAGGCTGCCCCAGGGGAAATTAGGAAAGGCTCAGGCCTTTATGGTCTGCACCACACCTGAGACATTCGCCTGTGGATCATAAAAGCAAGCTCTTTTTGCTTTGGGGTCTGACAGCATCCCTTGCCCCCTGTCTGCTAACAGAACCCTCTTTCCTGTGGTTTGAGTACAACTGACTTCGTGCCCTCCGCCCCCCACCCTCCAACCTCAAGGCTCAGACCTGGTCACCCCTCCATCCTCCGACGACAGCAGCTGATACAGGGATGGCCACATGACCAAACTGCTCCTTTCACGATTTGCCCCTAAAATTGTGCCACGTGTGCTGGGGGAAAGGCTCCCTCTTGCCCCGGCATCTTTAGCTGCACCAAGTAAAGCTGGAGGTGTCAGAGACTATCTTTCCCACCAAGTGGGGAAAGCCTGCTCAAGCATGGAGCCAACACAGAAGACAGAGCCATTGTGGGGGGAGTGGGGGACTGAGCCTGAGACATCGTTTAAATGCTTGGACTTAGCAGCACCCAAAGACTCTAAGCCACCAGGTCCCGCCCCCCATTTTGAACTAATTTGAGCTACATTTCTGACACTTGCAACCCACAGTCCTGGCTTTCTTCATTTTATGCATGTTAAAAAACACCATAGGAATTTGATGTATAATTTGCTATAAAATAATTTCTACATTTTAACAAGAAAATTCGTACCAGAGAAGGGCAAATCATGCACTAAATTATCAGTATGTTTCTGTTTTACAATCTTAAAAAATGAAAAATTACTTTGACTAGTGCTTTGTTCAAGATATGAAAGTAATCACAAGTTTAAATTGCTACTTTAACTGTACATACCTTTAGGGAGTCCCGTGTCTTGAATGGGATATTTGTCTGACTGTAGAGACCAACAAAAGAGGAGTGTTATTTTTAAACACCGTAGTCAATTATAAGATCAAAGTGAAGAGAAAGCTTTGTCTTGGGAAAGTCATGATTTTAATTTAAATCCTTGCAAGTTTTTAGCCTTGGATTTATCAATATGCCTGACCCATTGCTTGCTTTCATTCTCAATTTTATAGAAATGAAACCAAGGTGGATGAGAAGTTAATGCTGGAACATGAAACAGAAGAAGCCTTCAGCTCTGACCACTAAACCACACTTCCTCTCTTTTCTGCAGTGCTCTTCTATTTCCTGCAGCTCAAAATTGAGGGACATTTCTGTTAGTGAATTATGGGGACAGATCCATCTCTTCTCACCATTTCTGTGACATTCATTCAGGCCAATAAGCATGTGTTCTGGGCAGTACTCACAATTGGAGAGCTCTGTCACGGGTTGACTAGGACAGGAGTCAAAAGGTAACTATCCCATTAATTGCACGAAGATCTACAAATTAGTTACCCATTATGCACAATTATGCACAATTCCCCAATGGTTTAGTTGAGGGCAGTACTGTTACAGGGAATTCAAAATAGCAAATGCTCTCATAATCACATATTTCTTTGTTGGTACCGACAAATATGCAGGTATCTAAGCTTCTGGAAGCTTCTACTGCAGATTATACAATGTAGTCATTTTCTAAAGACTTCCATGAGAGGAGTGGGGATGCACCCAATCTCCCTAGCCTGTCCTCTGACCCTGGCTCAGTTCCCACCATCATCTGCATCTGGGCCTTTGGGTCTATAGTCCTCCAGCCTAAAAAAAAAAAAGCTGTACCTCCCAACTCTCCTGTAAGTCTCATCACTATCTTCCTTGGACAGAGGAGGAAAAGAAACAAATGTGGAACCAGGGATTCTGTTTTAAACGCCTTTCCTTGGAGTTTCTTTGGAGCTAGGCAGTAAAGTTTCAGAACCTTCTAGAAGCCTCCAACCCCTTTCCACAAAAGAAATCAATCAATCATCTTTACGGTATCAGTTCAACCTGTGAAGGGGCTGGAGTCTAAGGTCAGACACACTGGTGGTCAAGCGTGTCTACATGACTGAGCCCCAATAACACTCTGGACCCCAAGCATGGGGTGAGCTTCCCTGGTTGTCAATACTCTGTGTGTATCATCAAACATCATTCCTGAGACAAGTAAACACAACGTCACTGACAGAGGGTAGCTGAAAGCTCCATGCTTGCAACTTTCCTGGGCCCTGTCCTATGCCCCTCTTCCTTTGGCTGACTTTAATCTGAATACTTTTGCTGTAATAAACCACAATCCTGAGTGAAAAAAGAAATCAATCAATCAATCAATCATCAATCACAGGGAACTTAAAAATCAAATACTTTTCCCCCAGACTAAATCCTTCTCCATACTCTGCTCCCCAGAGCATGGAAAACACATCTGTACCATAGTGCTTCTCGGGCTCTTTTCAAAGTATTTGTCTATTTCCTCAGACAGACTGTGAGTGTTTCAAGAGAAGGGACCATGATCTGTGCATCCCCAGATTTTGACTCTGTTCAGACTACATGAACGAACAAGTGCAGGTTTCCTGGAGAGACTGACAGTTGAGATGGGCCTAGAGAATGCCCAGGACTCAGAGGACCGCGAGAAAGGAGCATGGTGATTGCAGATGGTGGGCACGGAGGAGCAAGGCCAGGTGGTTGGAAGACGGGCCAGCCTGTAGGATGGATGCATGCTGGAGGTGGAAAAGGAAGACAGGGTTGGACACGAAATAATGGAGCCAGTTTCCATGGAAGACCCTGCAAAGGAGGCAAAGGGATTTGGGAAGGCTGCCATTCTAGGATCTCGGGAAGCTTGGCTCATTTAACACTGCTGCCTGCTTCGTGCCCCACTCTGCATATGGAAAGACGGTCAGCACAGCCTCGCAGGAAGTCAGGCAAGCAAATAATTCCCACACAATGCGATAAAAAGTAGGGACCATGGGGCTTCCCTGGTGGTGCAGTGGTTGAGAGTCCGCCTGCCGATGCAGGGGACACGGGTTTGTGCCCCGGTCTGGGAAGATCCCACATGCCGCGGAGCGGCTGGGCCCGTGAGCCATGGCTGCTGAGCCTGCGCGTCCGGAGCCTGTGCTCCGCAATGGGAGAGGCCACAACAGTGAGAGGCCCCGCGTACCGCAAAAAAAAAAAAAAGAAAAAAGAAAAAAGTAGGGACTATGGATAAGGCAGCACCCGAAGGCCCCAAGGCTGAGAAGCCTTCCCAGATAAGGAACACCTGGGTTGAGTGGCGGGTTGCATAGGAGTTCATTATGTGAGGAAGCAGGGAGGGGCCAGCACTATGGGTATCCCAGGACGGGGGGCAGGGCGTGGGGCATTTGTGGAGCAGCAAATAGCTACACACAACTGGCTCATCAGGGGGATGTTGACACATGGTCATGGAGGACCTCATCTGCCATGTCAAGGACCATGTATTTAATCCTGGAAGGAATGTTATAGTTGAAATGTGTCCCCTCCAAAAATACCTCGAAGTCCTAACCCCCAGTACCTCAGACTGTGACCTCATTGGAAATAGGGTCATTGTAGATAGAATTACTTAAGATGAGGTTATACTGGTGTAGGGTAGGCCCTTAATCCAACAGGACAGACGTCCTTGTAAGAGGAGAAGAGATAACAAGACACAGACACACAGGGAGAAGACGGCCACGTGCCACCAAAGGAAGAGAATGGAGCGAAGCAGCTACAAGCCAGGGGACACCAAGAACTACCAACGACCATCAGAAGCCAGAAGAGGGACTACCCTGGCGGCACAGTGGTTAAGAATCCGCCTGCCAATGCAAGAGACACCGGTTCTAGCCCTGGTCCGGGAAGATCCCACGTGCCACGAAGCAGCTAAGCCCGTGCGCCACAACTACTGAGCCTGCGCTCTAGGGCCCGCGAGCCACAACTACTGAAGCCCGCATGCCTAGAGCCCGTGCTCTGCAACAAGAGAAGCCACCACAGTGAGAAGTCTGTGCACCGCAACAAAGAGTAGACCCTGCTTTCCGCAACTAGAGTAAGCCCACGTGAAACAACAAAGACCCAACACAGCCAAAAATAAATTTCAAAAATTAAAAGAAAAAAAAAGTGGTAACAGAGGTAAATCAACAGCGTATGCCCATCTGACACATGAGCAGGCCGCCTTTAACTTTAAGGTTGTCCTATTTTTTCTTTCGATCTCAAGTTAGATATGTTGATTTCTGAAGAATTGGTAATTAAAAATAGTATTAAAAGCAGACAAGCAGATAAAGACCTCACGTAACCTAAGAAGACCACTTCTGATATGTGCAAAATGAAAACAGAGTCTAACACCATTTTTAACCTGGAGAAACCCCAAGTTTATTATGTCACAGAGAAATATCATGAGAAAGAAATTTATCTTGGAAAACCTTATTTTAGGGTTTCAAATTTCATGTAAGTACTAAGTAATAAAAAATATAAAGAAATAACAAAGGGGAAGAAGGAAAACCAGGAGTCATCACCATCACCATTAATGTAAAAGTTGTAACCTACCATATTAAGGGATATAGTGCTAGGGTCTGTGTCTTCCACTGGCTCCTTTGTCAAATGATCTGTAAAGAGAACAAATAGAGAGCATTTTCTTTAACTCAGAAGCACAGTGTGTCCTTTGATAACTGTCTTCATATAGACACAAGCTACCCCAATCAGTTTGGAGAAAAGCTTACTTTCAGTCACTAGTGGAGACAAAATAAGAAGGAATGGGTTCAGGCTGCATCAAGAAAGTGATGATGACGAATAAACTACATTAAAAAATATTTTGGAACAGTTTACTTATAAATATCTACAAATACTCAGAGGTATACAAACAACTACAAATTAGGTGAACGTGATATTAATGACTCTTTTGCAGACTGGATTTTGAGACAGGCTGGGACCTGGGACCCTTTACTGGAGCGCTTGCACCTGGACAAACATCTCCTCAAGCAACAGAGTACAAAGAAACTATAAAAGACTAAAAATAACTGCATGCAAGTGCCGTTGGGCAAATTATGAACAACATACAGAAAAGAATACAAAAAGGGCACAAACCAACTGCCATTTCTGAGGTGCCGGGAGCAAAAGCAGGGTACTGCACGTGATCCCTGCACACAGCACCACCAAGGGGGTGGGCAGGCCACCTAAGCCACACCTCAGGCCCGACCCACCAATCCGCTCCCACCCTCACCCCAGCTCACCGCGCCCCCCTAGGACAGCAAGCAAGGGCACCTGTTTCTTGTTTTTACCTCTCAAGCTGCAGCACGAGTCCCAATAAAGCATTGCCTGAGTTTCTCGTCTGGTCTCTTATCAATTTCTATTGATTAAAGAGTCCAAGGACCCAGGTCCGCAACGATCTGATTATAACTTTGAGCAAGAAAATTAGAAAAAAAAGCTCCCCCTTTCCAAGACACTTTACGAAACATCTGCCAGAAAACTATCTTGCTCGACAACCACATCTGTCTGAATGGGATCCTCGGTATTTTGTGCAGTCACCACACGACCTGCAAAGCCCTAAGTGGCCAGCCTTGGGCCAATCGAGATTCAGCTTTCATTTTGCTCCCAAATCTTCATTAAGTACATAGTGTGGCCCAGGCACTAGGTCCTGGGAATGCCTTGGGGGAATCCAAACCAACAAAACAGGTCTACTTATGGAGATCATTTGTTTGTTCTCCCCAGATGTTTCCCATCCGAGAATGTGTCCAGACTTCTCACATTTCTCTCCCCGCAGGTGTTGACAATGCCCAAAGGAGAAGCAGTGTGAAGGGAACATCTCTTTGTTTTATGACAGGCTACAGTCACTGGAGAGATTAAAGGAGGTGGCCCAGAGGAGCGGGGGCAAAAGGAGAGAGTTTTTGCCAGTGTCCCCCCATGGAGCAGGGGACAGACACTGCAGCTCCACAAGTGGGGACTGTGCCGTGGTCCTTAGCAGAGCCCAGAGGTGGCAAGACCACAGCAGGGAATGCACGGAGGGGGCTAACCCCTGGGTCCCAGGGTTCCCAGCCCCAAAGAGAAACAAACCCACGATTTGGGTCTGCAAGAGAAACAGAGGGCTCCTGGACCTCAAGAGTCTTCTCAGACTTGGACAACAAGGACATCGAGCCCACCCGGATGCACTAAAAGTTCAAGGCCCCTCTTTTTCCAAGCACCACATCATCCTCTTAGGTTCCTATATGACCCTAAGGAAGGGGCCAGGCCCCAGTTTGGACTGAAATGGAATTTCCTGCCAGCCCAGTAGATGACAGACTCAGACCTGGATTTAAGTCAATGTAAAGAAAATAAAAACAAGTTGTGTTGCTAACTCCACCCTGAGTTTACAGAACTCCTGCTGCCCAAGGAAAGGAGAAGGCAATTATCATACAGAGCATTTGGTGTTAAGACAGTAGAAATGCAGAATGATATGGAAACACAGGAGGAACACAAGCCTAGCCTGGGGTGTCTGGTGGGGAGTGAAGAGAGGGTAGAGAGGAGCCTATAGAGGAGACAACACGAGTCCAGAAGGATGAGTTGAAGCTAGCCAGGAGAAGTCAGGGAGGGAAAAGCATTCTAGGCAGAGGGAACAGCATAGGCGAAGGCCTAGAGATGAAAAAGAACGGGACACATGAGCATACTTCAAATAGATCCAGCTGGACACCTGCATTCGGTTTTCCAGTTTTTCCTTTCTATCCTTCTCATGTCTCGCTCCTGGCTGGGGAGCGGGTAGTAGAAGCCACCATGAGTAGCCTCCAGTCCTTTCTTTCCCTCCTATCACAGCCTAGTCTCAACCGCTTAATTTTCACCAAAGTGTATCTGGATGATAAAACTTTTGTTTTTGGCCACGCGGCCTTGTGGGATCTTAGTTCCCTAACCAGGGATTGGACCTGGGCCTTCAGCAGTGAGAGCGTGTTGTCCTAACCACTGGATCGCCAGGGCATTCCCTGGATGATAATACTTTAAAAGCTTACCTCCACTAGGGGAGTGGAATTTTAATAGGAATCCTGTGTAGCTATTGCCCACCAAGTCTATGACAAGTTAGGCCTGTTTCCTACAGAGACATTAGTACGCGAGGAAGGAAAAAGATGAAGAGGAAGAAAATGGAGAAGATAGCTGGGAAAGGCAGAATTACCCCCAAAAGCAGCAGTGAGAATGCAAACAGGACAGTTAAAGGGAAGGCACACAGGGCCTGGGAGCAGAAGGCTTGGGTCCTCACCGCCACACCGCTGAGACCTAGTGGCCTGACCTTGAATGAGTCTAGCTGTATGACCTTGGATGACTCATTTTAAGTGTTCCCGGCCTCTGGCTCTTCCTCTGTAACAGGAGCGGGTCCACGTGGCTGGTTCCCACACCCAGCTGATCATCATTATTCTGGTCAGGTCAGGTTTGGGAACGACTCCCCCTGAGAATCTGTGCCTCAGAGGGTGATGGGGTGAACAGGACCACAAGTGTTTGGAGGCCCAAAGTCTCTTGCTTTGGTCTGAAACCTCTGAGAATAGATGGAACTTAAGATGGGAAGGGCACAGAGAATTTAGGGTTTTTTTTTTGTTGTTTTCTGAAGCACAACAGCAAAGTGAGAGGGCAATGAGGAAAGGCTTAGGTGATCAGGAGAGGTTTAGGACCAGTCTTAGAGGCACGTTCAGGTCTTTTATTATTTTCATTCGCATGGTTGTGACTGTATCAGCTTCTGACGTAGCCCAGGCTGGGGATGAAGTTCTTCCTCACGTGTTATTGCCAAATCCGCTCACAGACCCAGGCCCACGCTGTCTCTCCACTTGTTCTACCTGATCCCGGGCCTTCCCCCTGGCCCTCGCTGCAGTTCACGCAGAAACACCTTTGTTCTCCCAGGCCCGTGTTGTGTAGGTTATTTGGAGGAGGGCTGATCCTGGTTATTGGAGACTAGTCTAGAAGCAGTTGTCCTAAAGTATTTCTGAGAGCTCTTGGAGGCACACGTTTACAACATTATTAGTATGAAATCAAATAGTTTACTCAGAAGCTTTAAAATGTTTATTTTTACAGGCCCCAGGTAACAGCAGGCTGGGCCTCTAGGCAAGGCTCTGATATCAGATGGGGCACGAAGAAGCGGAAACAGAAAGGGGGATCGTGCGAGCTCCGAGGTGGCAAGGCCAGCAGCTCAGCCAGGGGTGGGTGGGGACCTTCCTCCTGATGCTGGCTGTTGCTCTACTGTCCCAAAGCTGCCTCCATTCTCCTGGATTGGTGACTCTAAAGAAGGCAGAGGTCACCCCAAATTAGCTGGTAATTGATCAAAGGGGGTCTCACGATGGCAATGAGAATGATGTTTAATTCACATGAGCATCTTCTGGGGAGGTCCTCAAAAGGCCTGAGTGAAACCCATGGTGAGCTAATGCCACTCAGCTGCTGGAAGGACACCCGGCCTGGCTCCCAGAGGCCCCAGGGGACAGCAAGCAAGGCCAGCTGCAGTTACTTGTTTCTCTGGGCCTCAGGTGCCTCATCTGTAATATTCAGGGGGAGGGGGGACAGAGAGCCTCCACGTGCCCTTCCAGCTTTAAAAGTCCATGAGTGGTGAGAAGTAGGGGCCCCAAAGGTGAAAAGAGCATCTTCAGGTGAAGGTCACTCCAACACAGGAAGCCCAGTTACAATTAGAGCTCCCACTTACCCAGTACCCCTCCCCGCCCACCCACCCCATCGCCCCACGCTGCCTGGTTTACACACAGCCCCGTTTCATCCTCACAGTAACCCTGAGAGAGGGCCAAGTGTCTCCTTTATCCATACTGAGTGCCCAAGGTCACAGGGCAAAGGAAGCAGCAGAATTTGGATTTGGGACTTTCTGACTTCAAAATCTACCCGTTTTCCACTGCCTTCGGGTTGCTTGAAGTGGTTCATGCGTTGACCACCTGATAACAGACTGTCCTGGGGGGATCTCTGTGTCCAAATTTTCCCTTCCTATGAGGGTACCAGTCACATGGGATGAAAGCTCCCTCTGATGACCTCCTTTTAACTTGACTGCTTCTGTAAAGACTTTATTCCCAAATCAGGTCACGTTCTGAGGTACTGGGGGTTAGGATGCCCACAAAATTTTTTGCGGGTGGGGAGCACAGTTCAACCCATAACAGTCCACTCTCTGGCCCCCAAATTCATGTCCTTCCCATGTGCAAAAGACATTCACCCGACATCCCCTAAAGCTTTCATCATTCCGGCATCAACTCTAAATGCAAAATCTCACCTACCCATCACCCACTCAAAGACCCAGCTCTCGTCAGCTCCTGAATCAGAATCCCCAGGAGCCCTGGAGACTGTGGGCTGCACCCGGCAGCCTCTCCACCAGGAACGATCTCAGATTGTCCAACACAGATGTGGGTACGCTGCCCAAGAGCAGCACAGTCACGTCCGGACCTCTCCCTTTATGAATCACATTAGATAAGGGCCAATAGTTCCTCAAGACAGTTCCTCAAAGGAAGTTCAAAGATCTCCTCTAAAGATGTCCTTTCAGAGAGACAAAGAGGGAAGCATGTCAGAGCTTCCTGGCTTTCCCGATCATCAGGAAACAAAAGAGTGGGGCTTTTTGTGCATCTTAGTGAAAAAGTAAAGGCAATTCTTTGAACTCGGTGATTTCATTTTATTTTTCCTCTGTTATTATTTTTTGTACCCGAGCTTTTCTTTTGACCTACAGCTGTTTTCACTACTGATTCTAAGGAAGCCCTAGAGTCCTAACCGTATTCAGGATTACAGAAGCTCTCAGGGCAGCAGCGCTAACAGGCTGCTAAGTTTACCTTCTTCTCTGTCTGGCAGCAGCCCTGCTCTGTCATCCCTGCACCTCAGAGCAGGGGCTGAACAAGCTGAGAAAGGTCCAGGGATCAAGAAGGTGCACCTCTAGAGCGACTTCTCTAGATGATGGCCAAGCTGAGGGAGGGGGAGGGGAGGGAAGAGATGAACCAAGGGATGAAAGAGGAATGCAGACAAGGGGGAAATACTTGGGTGGAGAGAAGGAAACTTAGAGGCATTGTTAAGAAACGGAAAGAAATGAAGTGGGCATTGGAAAAACCCACGGGACGGGGAAGGAGAAAGGGAGAAAGGAAAACCGCAGCCTGTCAGCACTCTCTGGTGGATGTGGTGAATGAACTGGCTGGTCCAGCCTTTCAAATAAGGGTGCTGCTCGAAGTAGTTCCCCCTTCAGTCCTGGTTTCTGCTCCCGGTGCTACTGGAGTTTGCAAGAAGGACAGGGTGCCACATCAGACCCGTCCAAGCGCGGAGGAGGGTTGCATGAGGGGTGAGATGCCACCTAAGGGGCTGTCCTGGGCCGGTCTCTAGGGCCAGGGCTCCCAGGGAGCAGCCCTGTGTGCAGTGCAAACAATACCCCGAGGATAAACAAAGGCAGAACATACGCTGATGTGCTCCCTGGCCAAGGGCACTTACTTAGCTCACTGCGACAAAGCAATGAACTGTACCATCTCCCCAACTCTCCCGACTTTCAAAGCCTCTTTCTTTGTTTCTGTCCTTAATGTATGTATGAACATGAATCAGATTTTATTCACTTTCAACAGGCAATTCTGACTCATTCCACCATGGATGGTTTATTAGTGGTAGAGATGGAATGAGATGGTCACACTGTAACCAGCATGACTATTTTCCTGCCAGTGTAAATTTTCTCAGGGCAAAGAGTTGTTTTTTTAATTAAGTTCATACGGTATAATAATAGATACCCACCTTTGTTATATGCATGTGGATATACAAACATCTTTTTTTTTTTAACTTTACAAGGTAAACCCAGTTAACATATCTAACTGAATCAGTTCCTAAGATGCCAATATGGGAAGAGCTTTTTCTGCCCAGTTTAATGAATAGGTGGTTACATTTTATATCTTTCATTCATTTACTGAGATAAGTATTTAACCAAGGCTTACTAAGTGCTGGGTACTGGGCCAGGCGTTGGAGAAAAACGGTCAAGCAAAACAGACATGCCCTCTGTCTAAGAACTTATAGCCTAACGGGGGAGAGAGACAATAGTGAAATCTTCACAGCTAGAAAGGGTGACAGGTGCTGGAAGGGTGCACCAAGGTTGTGTAACATGGAGCTGAATCTACCTCAGTTTTGAGCTGAAATCTGAAGGGTGGGCAGGAGGTAAATGGACTGGCGGGGGTTGGGAGGAGGTGAAGGGAGCCTTCCAGGCAGCAGAAACAACTTGTGCAAAGGCCAGGAGGCAGGTGGTCCAGGGCTCTCAAGGAAACAGAGGAGGCAGGGTGGCTGCAGTGCAGACGAAGAGAAAGAGCAGGCTTGTCGACTGAAGGGAGAGCTACAGGCCCACGTACAGAGTATGGACACCACTGAAAGACTGAGGATTTACTGGAAAGTCAGCGCAGGTTTCTGAGTAGAGGAATGGCGAGAACTGATTTGTTTTTAAAAGGTCACTCTGGCCACTTTTAGGTGTACAGGTTGGTGGAAGGTGACAGTGTGTATGCAAATACAAGTTGGGAGGTGAGTGCAGGAAATCTACTGAGACAGCATGGTAACTGGGTCTGGGGTGGAGACATGAAAATGCCACGTAACGAGTTTTACACATTATCACCACTTGTGGCTTCATTACAGAAATGGAAGGGATGTGTCCTGGAGGTTATAAAAATGATATGAGATGTTAGAAAGAGGAAGTCATTTTTTTGGTCATATTTCTGTCCAACCCTTTGTTTCTATATGCAAGTGTGGAGATATTATATATCTTTTTTTAAACTGGACGAACCCTCATCTAATGGATAGAATTCCAGAGTGGGAATGGACATGAGAGTATCTTTCAGATGCCTGGAGATGTTCTTCAACATCGCTGCAAGTGAGAGGGAGATCTCTACTCAGGAGGTCTCTCCCCTCTTTGTAGGAAGCCAACAAAAGTCCACCTACAAGTTTGGGTTCTACCTCTCAAAGTCAAGGAGACAGGTTCTTTCCAAATGACGCCCTCCTATCATCATATCCTCAGGTCTCTCATCCCGCCACATGTGCTGGGATTTCCTAGTCCCTTTGTTCCAGGTTGTGAGCTTCCATTTTGGCTGGGCCAAGCAGGCTAAGTAGCATCACCGGACTTCTAGATCCTGCAGTACTATTACTGTCATCTAAGATCCTATTGGCTGCCCTGGTGGCCTTGTCACACTCTTGACTCACTGAGGCTTTTTATACGTGAAGCTGTGTTTCCCAGCACCCACCTCCTCTGGTGCCATTGATTTTGGGGGTCCCACGCAGACCTTATATGTATCCCCATTCAGTGGGTCCCGATCAAGATCTTTTTGAATCTCCTTCCCCATGATCATTTAATGAGATGCGAAACCACTGTTAGTAAAATCTAGCTTAACACCTCTTGGCATCTTGCCAATTACATTTTCAGAAGAGGAAGTGGATGCAGAGGTGAGAGCTGGGGGGCAGGGGTAGGATTTCTCCCTTAATTTCCCCTTCTGTTTTTCCAAACAATGAATATGGGGGAGGAGAAGGATATCCAAACCATTTACTTATCTTCCATCTCCCATGGATAAAATGTTTACCATTCCTCACTTAAAGAAGAACCACTTGAAGGAGAATTTAGATCTTTCTTAAAATCTCCAGGAAACTCTCCCAGACCCAGCACATCACAAGGCCAAGTTAGCAATCTTCTGACCCACCTCCAGATACTTTCTATCTCATTCTCCTAACTGCTCAAGCCCCAAATGAACAATAAAATATTCAAGCTCCGGCCCTGCCCAAGCCCAAGAAATAAAATAGGGAACACGTGTCTCTAAGCAGGTATCTGTGGTTCTGTATATCTGGCTCTCTCCCTAGCCTTTCCAGCCTCAACAAAACTAGAAAAAGCCCCAGTGTGCTCTGGCGGATACATCATTCATTCATTCACATGTTCGACAAACAGTCACTTTGGATCAGCCTAGGGTATGGGAGAGCAAGGACAGCGAATTCCTGAAAGGTGAAGTCGGAGGAAGATTTTCAATTCAAGTGAAATTAAAGAAAAATCGAGAGCCTGGTCTCAAGAACAGGCACAGTATTCTACGGTTTTTCAATTCAAGTGAGATTAAAGAAAAATCTAGATTCTGGCTTCAGGTGCAAACAAAATATTTAACGATAAGGACAAAACTAGAGGCCATTCTAACCAAAGGCCTCTACAGGTGGGATCAGCCGCCTGGTTTTGTGGATACTAGTTTATGAAATAGCTCCGAGGGCCAATATTTAGAACAAAACCATTTAATAAAAGTGAAACGAGGAGAGAAGAGGAGAAATGAGAAGGCACGTGAGTAGGGAGAAAGGGAGAGCTCGGGAGGAAAGAAAGAAATCCACCCCTTGCGCTCTTTTCTGCCGGAAAGGTTTGAGGGGCTTGTTTCAACCTGGCATCCCCGGTGCAGAACAAAGACGCTGGGGCGAGAGAGCAAGAGGAGAGAAGGGGCGTCTCAGGCACGCTTGGGGGTGACTGGGGCCAGGGGGCCGCGGGGGGCGCGCGCCACCAGCAGCCGCTCGCGGGGGGAGCCTCGCACCTCGCCCTCCGGGACCGGGCGCCGCCGCTGTCCCCCGTCCGGCCCCGCGCGGACCCGGGTCGGGCGCCAGGGTCCAGGGTGGTCCCAGGTCGCCCCTCGGGGCTCGTGGGGAGCTCGGCCCCGACAGCCCCGCCGCAGACGCGGATGCCTAGCGATCTAGCGACCCGCGGTCCGCGCTCCGGCTGAGGGTGCGGCGCGGTGTCAACTTACCCGCGCGCACAGGGTCGTCCGGAGAAGCCATGGGGACAGAGTGGGGCCGACGGGCGCCAGAGCAGGGCCGGGCGGCTGGCGGGACAGGGGAGGAAAGCCGGGTTGCAGGGCTCGGTTGCCCTGCCTTTCGGACGCGTGGGGAGCGAACCTCGGCAGCTCCGCGCGCCCCTCCTCCGCCCGCTCCTCCCCTCTCTCCGCCGCTCTTCCCGGCGCTCACTTCCTGCTTGGCAATTAGCAAAGCCCCTGCCGTGCGCGTCCGGTTCCACCCCCCGCCCTCAGACGCGTAACCTGGAGCCCGGGTGCAGCGGACCAGGGCGCGGGGAGAGTCCCCGGGTGCCCCGGAGTCGCCAGCACCCGCCGCGAGCGCCCTTCCAGTCCTGCGCCCAGGTCTCCCAGGGCAGGTCCCGCCGCGGAGCTCGCGGGAGTGCTGCCCGGGACCTGCTGCGAAGCGATTATTAGCCTTAAAAGCCGGCTGCAGTCGCGGGTCGCTCTCCTGGCTCCCTCCTTTCGCCCTGAGCCCGGCCGCAACTCTCCTCCGCGCACAGGCCTGTGCTGAGACGCCTGGCGGCGGTCTAATGTTTAGACCGTTTCCTGCTCTTTAGGCAGAGTACGCCGCTGCATGATGGCACACGCTAATAATTTCTATTTTGATTTTTCTTTGGCATTGGTTATTACATGACCTCCAGGGTACTTACAACACAAAGGGAGTGAAAAGAGGAAGCCTGACACACACTCGCACAGCCTCGCTAGAAAAATAGCTTAGGGCTCCCTCGGAAATGCCAAGGTCTAATTTTTTAAATTTTAATTTTATACCAATTACGTGCGCACAGATTGGAATCTTCCACTAAGAATATTTTTAAGAATGTTATATTTTAACTAAACCTATCATCCACCATAAATCTATTACTATACGAGGGTTACAGGCAATTTAAATTTAATAGTAATCTCTTAAGGGTTTAAAATAACCTTTGTCTTCACACATAAGAATTGAAAGAGAGGAACTGATTTGAAAGAGATAACATAGCTTTTAGTCAGTTTATCGTGAAGGAGCAGCCTCTGGCTAAAAACTCAGCTCCGAAAAATGCAGGAAAGCAGCAAGTGTGTACATACCCTCTTGGCGACCAGGGGCGTGCTTTGTGCCTCTCCCCCTCTGTTGAGTAGTCCTGAGGCCCATGGCACTCTCCACATCGGCACTTAATATGCCATGAAAGAAACGGGAGGCTCAGAGAAGAGGGTCCGGCTGGCTGTCGACCTTCTGGTGGAAAGCTCTCTGGGGAATCTGTGGGTGGAAGGATGAACTTCCTTTTGGTCTGCCTTCTGATAGGAAGGGAAATTTTTTTAAACGGTGTTTTCTCTTAGCATCCTTTTTGAGGTTTGGTTTGTGGTTCTTTCTGTACTTCTCATGATGATGGAATTATTTCTGAGGTTGGTTGTCAGGAACCACATAGCAAGTCGGCAACACAAGCGCAAGCATTGCTCTGAAGCTGGTTTGCTTTTCAAAACCCTGACTTAATTGTCTTATCACTCCCACTTTTATTATATCAGATAGAAGAGGGGTGGCAGAAACACACTTCACCATTAATTTTTTAAAAGAAAATTGACTATATATATTATTCCCTTTCATTCCATTTCCTTGTACCTACTTTTTGTGAATTGCAACCATAAGCCGTCATTACCTTATTTTTCCCATGTGCTTTGTGAACTCTAAAGTGCAATGCAAGTGGAACTTTTTTTTTAATTTACAAAAAGCTAATTTAAAAACAATTATCTTTATTGGAGTATAATTGCTTTACAGTGGTGTGTTAGTTTCTGCTTTATAACAAAGTGAATCAGTTATACATATACATATATCGCCATATCTCTTCCCTCTTGCATCTCACTCCCTCCCACCCTCCCTATCCCACCCCTCTAGATGGTCACAAAGCACGGAGCTGATCTTCCTGTGCTATGCGGCTGCTTCCCACTAGCTATTTTACATTTGGCAGTGTATATATGTCCATGCCACTGTCTCACTTTGTCCCAGCTTACCCTTCCCCCTCTCCATGTCCTCAAGTCCATTCTCTAGTAGGTCAGCGCCTTTATTCCCATCTTGCCGCTTGGTTCTTCATGACCATTTTTGTTTGTTTGTTTTTTAGATTCCATATATATGTGTTAGCATATAGTATTTGTTTTTCTCTTTCTGACTTACTTCACTCTGTATGACAGACTCTAGGTCCATCCACCTCACTACAAATAACTCAATTTCGTTTCTTTTTATGGCTGAGTAATATTCCATTGTACATATTGCTACATCTTCTTTATCCATTCATCTGTTGATGGACACTTAAAAACAATTATCATCCACTGGAGTTGCCAAAGGGCTACCATACAATCCATTTGCTGTCATACTGTGTCCTTCTGCTTTTCCTTCTATTGCTACCCAAAGAGGGTTTTAAAACACTCTTTAAAATAGACATTTTTGACTTTTCTTAATAGCACCTAAATTAACTCATGAATCTCGGAATCACAATAAATGGGAATTGGTAACCAAAGAGTCAGATGTGCTGGATTTGACTCACAGGCCCGTCACCATGAGTTTGCGTTACTTTAGCACAAAAAGTTACTAGTGTGCTACTTTGTGTGCACACTTTAGCACACAAAGTTTTGTTACTCAAAACTCTTGAGTCTGTAAGAATTTGTAGGATTGTGAAAGTTAAATGAAATATTGCATATATAAAATTACCTAAAAGTGCCTGGCTTATAGTAGGTACAAATAAACCAACTACTTTCCTGCCTTCATTCTTTCCTTGGAATTTAGTCTATTATGAGAAGCTCCTATTGCCTTTGTTATAAGAAATGAACCAGTATTTATTATAGGGTTCGTGTACAGCACAGATCAATGGATTGATTGATAGCCCCCTCATGCCCCAAACAAAATGCCAAGCCCTGGGAAACCAAAGTGAGAAGTCCCTGACTTTTAGGAGTGTGTGGTCAAGAGAGATCTGCAGATACTCTTTCACTGTAGAACCAAGATAATGAAAGTTTAAAACAGGAAGGGGTATGTGTGGAAGAAAGGGATTAAAGACCTATGGAAGCCAAGTGGCTTGGTGGTGACCACCCTCAGACTGACAGTTTGCCACGGAAGTTTTCATGCAAATTTTGAGACGTTTGTTTATGATACTATGGTTAAAGCCTTAAGTGGGGGGAAAACTGTTGGTCTTGTGTCTTTTCACAGACAATGACGGTGATCAGGAATGTTATCTTCAAATGGGGAAAACAGCAACTCAAAACATAAGTTTATTTGATTCATCATTGAAATATGTTGTTTTTGTTCATTTTACATCATTTTGGGTGTTACTTAAATTTATGCAACCTGAGATAAAAAGTTATATTGTTGAACCACATACTTCCTTATTTCAAAGGGTTGTTGTACATTGTGTGTAAATGAACCCAGCAAACTGGTTAGACCTGCAATGATAGCATATGGATTTAGGATTATAGGAGACTCCTTATGTTCCAGAATGGGACAGTCTCTCGGTTGAATTGGCTTGATATACCCTTGGGGAATTGTGTGTTGTGGAAGAGGCGCAAATGAGAGTTAGTAAGTTCATTTGTCTCCTTTTTGGAACAGATATTTGCGAACGTTTGTCTAGAGTATGTTAAGGCAGTGGTAGTGGGTCTCTGCTGTTTTGCCACATAACTTCTCATAGTAATGCCCCAGTGTACTCCCGGAGAACCATCGTTCCGCTCTCAATCCATGTGATCAGGCTGTGGCACCATCACCCCTGCCTCCTGACTCTGGGGGTTGGCAAGTGACCCAGGAGTAGCCTTTCCAGACACCGCTGAATGAGCCAACAAGCCTAGGAGATGCCTGGTACCTTTGCTGGGATGTATGGGAGATGGGCCTGTGCATGGTGAAAGAAATGAGCAGGACTGAAATGTTTGGGAGGGTCCATATCCTGGAGAGCCTTGAATGCCATACAAAAGCACGTGAAGCTATTTTTCAGCAACAGGAAGCCAGGAAGCTAGTTTTTGGAAAGTGGCATATGAAAATCGGTGTTTTTGGAGGATTGGTGTGGCAGCTGTGTGTAGGATAGGATGCGGCGAGGAGAGAATGCAGGCCAGGAGACCATTTCATCTTTACAATACGCTGTAATTTACTACAGGGTTGAATTTACATCCTCGTCCAAATGTGAGGGAAACTCAAATCGGAAATTTTAAGATGTCTTTCTGTGGCCTGTTTAAGCATTCACCGCCTCACACAAACTGATTGCCCTGTAGATTTGCATCTATGCACAAAAACGTTAACAGAGAGACTGAAAAACTTAAGGAAAATATTATCATTTTTGCCGCTTTGAATACTGTTTGACAGGAGCACAACATTCTGGTGCATTTGTTTAAGCAGAAATAGTTCTTTTTTTAATTGAAGTATAGTTGATTTACAATGTGTTAACTTCTGCTGTACAGCAAAGTGACTCAGTTATACACACATATACTTTTTTTTTTTTTTTGGCCACGCCATGTGGCATGTGGGATGCGGGATCTATCTTCGTTCCCCGGCCAGGGATCATACCTGCACCCCCTGCATTGGTAGTATGGAGTCTTAACCACTGGACTGCCAAGGAAGTCCCTATATATTCTTTTTTTTTTTTTAATTTAATTTATTTTTGGCTGCATTGGGTCTTCGTTGCTGCGTGTGGGCTTTCTCTAGTTGCAGCAAGTGGGGGCTACTCTTCGTTGCGGTGCACATGCTTCTCATTGCAGTGGCTTCTCTTGTTGCAGATCTTGGACTCTAGGCGTGCAGGCTTCAGTAGTTGTGGTGCACAGGCTTATACATTTTTTTTAATGTTCTTTTCCATTATGGTTTATCTCAGGATATTGAATATTGTTAACTGTGCTATACAGTAGGACCTTGCTGTTTATCCATTCTATATGTAATCGTTTGCATCTACCAACCCCAAACTCCCAGTCCATCCTCCCCAACCCCCTTCCCCCTTGACAACCACAAGTCTGTTCTCTGTCTGTGTGTTTCTGTTTCATAGATAAGTTCATTTGTATCATATTTTAGATTCCACTTATAAGTGATATCATATGGTATTTATCTTTCTCTTTCTGACTTACTTCACTTAGTGTAATAATCTCTAGTTGCATTCGTATTGCTGCAAATGGCATTATTTCATTCTTTTTTATGGCTGAATAGTATTCCATGGTATATATGTACCACATCTTCTTTATCCATTCATCTGTCGATGGACATTTAGGTTGTTTCCATGTCTTGGCTATTATGAATAGTGCTGCTATGAATGTAGGGGTGCATGTATCTTTTTGAATTATAGCTTTGCCTGAATATATGCCCAGGAGTGGGATTGCTGGATCATATGGTAACTCCATTTTGAGGTTTTTAAGCAACCTCCATGCTGTTCTCCATAGTGGCTGCACCAACTTACATTTCCACCAACAGTGCAGGAGGGTTCCCTTTTCTCCACACCCTCTCCAGCATTTGCTATTTGTAGACTTTTTAATGATGGCCATTCTGACCAGTGTGAGGTGGTACCTCATTGTAGTTCTGATTTAAGCATAAATCGTTTTTCAA